TACGACGTAATCTTGCATTTTAAGGCAAGTTTAAGATTTTAAGGGCGATTATAGTTCAAAGCCACGACCGGTGAGTAAAAATGGTGGTGGTGCAAGATGGAGGTCACATCCTTAAAGCTGAGGCTTCATCTATGAACTGTTCTCACCAGGTGTATCGTCTTTAAAAAGTTCAACTCAAAAAGTTTGCCACTTTCTCCCGTATATTATTAACGCGTGAACGGGGCGAGGGAGCATCGGCGAGAGAAAGTAATGTGCTCAGCTGATGAAACTCTGGTTTCAATGCTGCGTGGCGTTCAGGTGTTTATTTCCTCCCCTTCATCTCCTTTACAAATGGCCATATTTCACCATCACATCGGCCGTGTTTTGACTCAATATATCCCAGTCTATTTCTCGCTCCCGCTTTCCCTGGGTTTATTTTTGTTTTTTTAGGGCCATGGGGGAGCCATCATCATCACTGCCAGACAATATGGCCGCCGTGTGTAAATATCAATCACCCCCGTAGCCCTTGTTCTTGGAGACTACCGACGCTGCATAAACACTACGGCGCCGTTGACGGAACGCGTTCTGACAGCTCATCATCATAAAACAAATGCACACACTTATTTGGGCTGTTACGTGTGTGTGTGTGTGTGTGTGTGTGTGTGTGCAGATACTATTATTCTACTCTTCACTTACCAATTCATGCGGCGCTAGTTCAAAGGGAACTGTTGTCCTCCGCGGTCCTGTGTGTGCGTGTTGACATTGGCTGGCATTGTTCGGAAACAAAGCGCGCGCAGAGTGATTGCGTTTTCTCCAAGTGGCGTCGTGCGATGTGAAGGCACCGTCTCGTTCGCACCCCTGGTGTACCGCGGCTTCCTGATGTATAAACAAAGGCACCGTCTCGTTCGCACCCCTGGTGTACTTCTCAGAGCCGCGGCTTCCTGTTGTATAAACAAAGAAGAAGCACAAGCGGAATTTGAGTAGAATAGAGAGACAGGTACTGTGTTATAGAAACCTGGATAGAACAGCTGTTAAATGTGCTATACTGCAGTGATATTTCAATGCAAAGGAAAAAAAAAAACTGCGTACAGTGCTTGAGAAAAATAACATTACTGGTGTCACGTGTGTTGCAGGTCATGTTCAGTCTGTGCTGTAAATAAAGACCTGGGTGTGAGTGTGTGAAACCCTGCAAGGTTTTCAGTGCTCTGTGCATCACTGTGTTTATTATCAGTGTGTTTTTTGTGGGCCGATAAATTACGAAAATCCATACTGTCAGAATGTCAGAAATGTAAGGCATGGATGAGACATGATTAAAAAATGTCCTGTATTTGATCAATCAATTACATTCATTTATTTCAATTGTAAAATCCATCCATCCATCCATCCATCTATCTATCTATCTATCCATCTATCTATCCATCTATCCATCTATCTATCCATCTATCCATCTATCTATCCATCTATCCATCTATCTATCCATCTATCCATCTATCTATCCATCTATCCATCTATCCATCTATCCATCTATCCATCTATCCATCTATCCATCTATCCATCTATCCATCTATCCATCTATCCATCTATCCATCTATCCATCTATCCATCTATCCATCTATCCATCTATCCATCTATCCATCTATCCATCTATCCATCTATCCATCTATCCATCTATCCATCTATCCATCTATCCATCTATCCATCTATCCATCTATCCATCTATCCATCTATCCATCTATCCATCTATCCATCTATCCATCTATCCATCTATCCATCTATCCATCTATCCATCTATCCATCTATCCATCCATCTATCTATCTATCCATCTATCCATCCATCTATCTATCTATCTATCCTTCTATCTATCTATCCATCCATCTATCATCTATCTATCCATCTATCCATCCATCCATCTATCCATCCATCTATCTATC